CAAAACATCTACCCTTACTTTTGCTTCCCAGGATTCAGAGAGCCCGAATCCACCTCTTGATCATATCTTGTCCTGAAATGATCCATGCAGCCATTGTCACCAAATCCTCCCCATTCTGTGTTGACGCACATTTTGCCTTCGTCTCCTTCTATTAGTTCTATATGTTTCATTTCTTCCATATAGCACACGTTACTGCCTGTCCCTGAAAGACAGAAAGAAAGAAAAAAGACTTTAAAACAGCAAAACGTTTTTCTCCACGGAAGTTCAAGTGTAAGGAGGTGGAAAACAATAGCTGCAGAACACAAAATAGTCATAGTTCTAATGGTTCCTGTAGAAAGAGCCAGGTTACATAACTGGGCTGAAAAAATCCAGACAACCTCAAAATGGCAGCAGCAAGATCAGAAAATCCTAATAAAGTCTTTCTCAACTTTGTTTACTTTAAGATGTATGGACTTCAGCTCCCAGAATTCCCCAGTGCTTAAATCAATTTTAAAATGTATATATGTCAAGAAAAAAAGGGAAAGTACAATCCTCATCAAGCCAAATCAACACGTGTACCATTTTCTTTTGCAGGCCGTTAGTGAAAATTAGCATTATCCCAATTTTCTACTATGTCTTCCCGCTGCTCAGGGGTATTAAAACACAATACAAAAGACTGGGTTTTGTCTGCTGTATATTTCTCTCGTTTTACCTGCAATGAGTCCAATCTCACAATGTGGATCTTCATAACCACATGTCATCATTGTCCCAACTGTGTCATTTACCACCGCTACGATATCCAAATCAAATTCCTGCAACAGAAGTGGAGTGAGGGGTAGCCAGTGTTGTAATGCAGCATGCATTAGGGTTATGCGTACTTGAAAAAAAAAATGTTTCACTTAAGAATGATTTGATCTGAATAATAATTTAAATCACTGGTTGGACACTTGCATTTGTTGTGCTTTACGTTATTTCGCTTTAGCAGCTGGTAAACGAAAGTGTGCATAACATTGAAACAGCCCTTGAAAAACCTCGCCAGACAGTTATAAATGTAAAACAAGTTCAGTTCAACACATAGTGGTTATAACTGCGAAGTGAGCTAGAGATACACATTCCAGCCTTAAGCTCTCCATTCAGGGCTAACGGGTTTTGATGGAGCAAGGGTGAAAAAAAAATGCACAACTCACTCTGACTGAGCAAAATGACAGCGCTCCAGGCTTCCTCTTAGCCCGGGCTCCCTAACTTAGCTTAACCACTCTTCAGACCTTCTACATCAGTATTTTTGAAAAATCTTTCAGGACCAGCTCCTTGCCTAACCTATGGTCACAAGCCACAGTCATCCCCATCTTCAAAAAGGGAGACCCAAGCCTAGTTGAAAATTACAGACCAATCTCCTTATGCTGCGTCACCTGTAAAGTCATGGAATCAATTATTAACCAATCCATCATCCTCCACTTAGAGACAAACAACCTACTCTCCAATAAACAATTTGGTTTCAGAAAAAAACTATCCTGTAATCTGCAACTCTTACACTGCAAAAACATATGGACGACACAACTCGACCAGGGCAAAACAATAGACGCAATCTACATAGACTTCTGTAAAGCCTTTGATTCAGTGGTACACGACAAACTACTCCTAAAAATAAAATCCTATGGTATCTCTGGACAACTGAATAACTGGATAGAAGCATTCCTGGCAAACAGACAACAAATGGTCAAAATTGGGAGCGTCCTATCAAATTCTGTACCTGTCAATAGTGGTGTCCCCCAAGGCAGTGTTCTAGGACCAACTCTCTTCATGCTCTACATAAATGACCTCTGTGATCATATTAAGAGCAATTGCGTTCTTTTCGCTGCTGATGTAAAGCTGTTCAATACCACAGACAATACTGCTACCCTACAAAAAGATCTTGACTATGTATCAGAATGGTCAAACAAATGGCAACTTCAAATCTCAACAAATAAATGCTCTGTCTTACATATTGGCAAAAAAAAAATCAGAAAATAAAATACAAGCTGAATAGTCAAGATCTTGTTGATGACCCAAGCTCTGTAAAGGACCTTGGAATACTCACCTCTAATGATCTAAGTGCTAGAGCCCACTGCAACTACATAGCAAAAAGGCATTAAGAGTTGTTAACCTAATCCTACGTAGCTTTTTCTCTGGTAATATCACACTACTAACCAGAGCATACAAAACATTTGCTAGACCAATACTCGAATACAGTTCATCAGTCTGGAACCCACATTACATATCTGATATTAGCACAATTGAGAAAGTCCAGAAATATTTCACAAGAAGAGTTCTCCACTCCTCTACTCGTTGTAGAATACCTTATGCCACCAGACTTGAAATTCTAGAACTAGAAAACCTTGAATTACGCCGTCTTCGGTCTGATTTAAGCATGGTATATAAAATCATACATTGCAATGTCCTACCTGTCAATGAATACTTCAGCTTCAACCATAACAACACAAGAGCACACAATAGATACAAACTCAAAGTTAACCGCACCAAACTTGATTGCAGGAAATACGACTTCAGCAATAGAGTGGTCAATGTCTGGAATACTCTACCCGACTCTGTAGTTTCTTCCCCAAACCCCAAAAACTTTAACCTTAGACTGTCTACTATTGACCTCACCCCTTTCCTAAGAGGTCTGTAGGGGGCGTGCATAAGCGCACCAACGTGCCTACCGTCCCTGTCCTATTGTTTCTCTTATTCTTCTTTTATTTTTCTTATATGTACCCATTTCATGTATTCACAACTATGTATACACTTATACTTATTATCTTGTAAACAATTGGCAAATCAAATAAATAAAATAAATAAATAAATAAAATAAATAAAATAAATAAAATTTTTCACAGGAAGTTGTGGTGTGTGGGCTTCCACTCCCACAATTTCCCAGATGCCTGGAGAATTCTGGGAGTTGAAGTCCACAAGTCTTAAAGTTGCTGAGTTTGGAGACCTCTGATGTAAAGCAAAACGAGCAACCCAGTTACCTGAGAATTTCTCAGGAATTTGGGGTGGAAATAGTGGGAAGACGGGCTGTTTTATTTTAAAAGAATGAATTGCTTAATAAACTGGTATAAACCCATTTGCATAATGAGAGGGAAATCTGCAGTTTTAGATTATGTTGGCTGGGTTCTCAGCAACCTGTTATATATTAGTATCTTGACTGCCAATTCTAAGTTATCTTTTTGGTCAAAAGTTTGGAAGAATTTTTTTTAAAAAAATGCCCAGCAGTCATTGACAGTGAATCTTTCTTTCAGTTTATTGTCCATTTGTTCTAACACTTATATGTTGCTGGACGATAAGAAATTGATTCAAATCACAGGTGTTCCATATAGGTAGTCAAAGTTATGACCACAATTGAGCTCAAAATTTCTGTTGCTAAGCTGGACAATTGTTAAGTGAGTTTAACATACAGATGCCCAACAGGTGGCAGCACCACCTTTAGCTTAGCTATTTATTCATTTAAAATTATACTGGCATTTCCCCCCATAAACCTGCGTCCAGGGTTTAAAGGTTTATTCTGGCCAGAACCTCACAACTACTTTTTCTTCAGAATAATGTACTGTAATCAGATTAAAGAAGTTTGTTTTTGTTTAAATGAGAGAATAATATAATGTGTGGTTGCTGTGTACACACCAGTACTTCTACTAGTGAAGCAACTGTTCAGGATAATTCACAAGGACGAGATAAAAAAAAAGCCAAGATGGCAGCCACGGCCACACAAACAAAGCCCCATCCTTTTTTGTATGTGTCACAGCACACATTAAAAGGGGGTAGAAATTCATTGTATGGTTGTTGAAACTGTCTGTCTGTCTGTCTGTCTGTCTCTCTCTCTCTCTCTCTCTCTCTCTCTGTCTCTCTCTCTGTCTGTCTGTCTGTCTGTCTGTCTCTCTCTGTGTCTCTCTCTCTCTCTCACACACACACACACAGAGTCATCCTGCATCTATATTTTAAAGCCTCCCATCTTTTTTCAGATTTCTACTCATGGCTGAAAAATGAGCCCCAAAGTCATTTTAATGAGGCCACTGTCAAAAGCAACGATCTCATTTTTCTCACCCTGCAAAAGTCTTGATCAAAGATGGGCTGTTTTAATGAACTGCAGTGAAATTATGGTTCCCTGCAAATTCATAAAGAGCTTCCCCTGAATCATTTTCAAAGTGCAAAAGACCCCATGACTTCTACATTTATCTGAATAATTCCAAATGAAATCAACTCAGTAGGAAAACTGCATCAAGTCAGGGTTTCTTCTCAACCCTGGTGGTAGGGATTTAGCTCAAAAGATGCAGGATACCGTACTTACATTTCTCCGTTTTATCGCTTCCCTTAGCAAGTCAACAACATCCTCCCCTTCGCAATTGGTTGCCTTGAAACCTTTTGTCCACCCAACAAGAGCTCCCTGAAAAGTAGTACAGCCAAAAAGGACAATTAAAAAGTGTTTACTGAAGGGAGACACAAGAGTTAGATCACCCAAATTCAAAACTGACTTTACATTTTTAGGAAAGACTCATTTCAAATTACATTTCCAAAGAAAGTTTAAGTCAGGGGCATCCAACCTGGGCAGCCTTAAAACCTGTAGACTTCAACTTACAGAATTTC